CTGGGAGACATAGAGTCTACAAAAAAAAAAGATACATTCCATAACTGGCACCCCAAATATGTACAGCACAAGAAAGAGATGGAAAGATTCAAAGTTCTATAAAGTACTTTGGTGTCAGAAAGAACCGAGTTCAAATCCTGCCTCAGATATTTACTAGTTTTGTGACTCTGGTGAACTCACTTAACCTCTGTGTGCCTCCATTTCTCCATCTGTAAATTGGGGATAGTAGTATCACTTATCTCCCAGGTTTCTTCTGAGGAAAAAATGAGACAATATTTGTAAAGAGTGTCGCAAACTTTAAAGTGCTACATAAATGTTAGTTGTTGATCCATCACGTCCTATTCTCCATGACTCCATTTGGGGTTTTCTTGGCAAAGATACTGGAGTGGTTTGCCATTTCCTTCCCCAGCTCATTTTACAGCTGAGGAAACTGAGGCAAAGAGGGTTAAGTGACTTGCCCAGGGTCACACAGCTAATAAGGGTTTGAGGTCATATTTGAACTCAGGTCTTCCTGACTCTAGGGCCAGTGCTCCATCCATTGTGCCATCTAGCTGCTTTTTTTGAAGCAGCCAGTACTTAATAAATGCTCTATCCATTTTCCTAGTTAATAAGTAGTCTATTCATACTTTTTCCTAACTTATAATCCCTGATCAAATTAAGGGATGTCAACATATTATGATAATGAAGAAAAATCTGAAGGAAAATTATTAATGATAATTCTCTACTCAATCATCTTATGAGAACCACTGAGTTTTCAGGAAGAGCAGAGTCAGTCAGTGAGTTTTTACTAAATCTGCCAAGAGCTTATGATCTGATGAGGTGGACAAAAGAGATAAGCATGCATTCAACAGAAATGTATGTAGCTCATAGAAACTTATGATCATAGATTTAGGGTTGTAAAAGATATCAGAGGTTATTTTGTCCAATCCCCTGTTTTACAGATCAGAGAGATTGTGACTCACTCAAGGTCAAATAGATAGTAAGTATGAGAAGTGGAATTTGAACCCAGGTCCTCTGATATCATAGCCAGTGCTCTTTCTGTTGTATAAAACAATGATGAGTGAATTAAGGAAAAAAAGAAAAAAATACCTCTTACACATAAAAAAGGGGGAAAAGACCTATTTGTACAAAAATATTTATAGCAGCCCTTGAGGCAGCTAGGTGGCACAGTAGATAGAGCTCTGGCCTTGGAATCAGGAAGATCCGAGTTCAAATCCGGCCGCAGACACTTGGCACTTAGCTGTGTGACCCCGGACAAGTCATTTAACTCTGATTGCCTCACCAAAAAGCAAAAAAAAAAAAAAAAAAAAAAAAAAAGAATGAATTAAGGATGAAGGATGACTTTTATTGATAGAGTGGGGTAGGGACTATTCAAAGCTTTCTGGAGAATGTAGCTCTTATGCTGTACTAATCAAGGCAGAGCTTCCAATCCAGAAATAGCCAGTCTTGTGTAATGGAAGGAACAAATTGTGGTCCACCATACTTTTGTAATCTTGTTTAAAAAAAAATGTGGTCTTTCCTGGAACTCTGATAAGCAAAGTTCCATTTGGCAGGCTGATAGAAGTTCAGCTGGGAAAGTATCTGCCTAGCACTGGCATCCCTTGGATTGAAAGAAGGCAGGAAGTTTTGCACTGAACTGTTTCTCTTCTGTATACTCTACAGTAGAAATGTACAAATGGCCTATGTCCTTTCTGGGAAAAGATTGATACACAAAGCAGGTGTTATCCATAATCTATATCATAATCTAGATAAAGTTATTTTATTATAGAGAGAAAGTGAGCAATTATTTGTTAATTATTTACACCTGAGAGATTTATCTCTTCATTTCCTATTAGAATGTACCTTTGTGTTCATACCTTTGAACAAATGAGTGTATTTCCAAGATAGTGTTAGAAATGCCCTTGGCAGCCAATCTCCTCAGAAAAGGACTTTGCAGATATAGTTGGTCAATTATTTAGGATAGAGGCTCACAACTTCTTGTCTTAAGCTGAGTTGTGTTAAATAGAACTTTTAGTATCCATCCCTATAAAGATTTCTGTATCGTAATTTTCAATTCAAGAGGTATGGGAGTGGAGGACTGACCTTGGAGTGAGGCAGTCCGACACATATATGTAGTCTATGTTGTCTCCCCCTTTAGAATATAAGCTCTTTGAGGACAGAGACTATTTCATTTATATTTGTATCCCTAGTGACAATATCTATATATTATGTGTTTATTATGTACATATTGAGAGAAATTATTATTAATAACCAATATTTGAGGAGATCCAGAGTTCCCCCTTTTTCTATAGTCCTCATTTCAAAGTCCAGCCTCTATGAATTAACTGTCCTCAAGCTTGGTCAGACCCCACCCAACCTTACAAGGAATTCAATCTAAGGTGGCGAAGTCCATTGTGTTCTACTCAGGTTTGGGTAGGTATAAATTCCTTGATTAGCTTGCCCAAAGCTGTTGGTGATCTGGGATAGACATAATCTCTTTGTCCAAGAGTGACATGATGTCACTCTCTCATTAATTGTTAACCAATCAGAGTTGATTGCCACCCTCTGGAATACCCACTTTTCCCAGGGCATAAAAGCCATGAGCTAGCCACCATGAGTATCTTTGGCATTCAAGAGTGCCACTGACCTCTTTTAGTAAATTGTTAGCATTATTAATAAATGACTATTTGCCCAGAAATTATCTCTTGAATTTTTTAAATGTCACAAATATATATATAATATATATATGTATATATATATAAAATATAACTTACATGTGTATGTGTGTGTATTTGTTATTACTAGAAAGCCAGTGTGGCATAGTGGATAGAGTTGGCTTCAGAGTCAGGAAGACTTGGGTTGAAGACCCGCTTCTGATATATATGGGCTCTATGACCCTCAGCAAACGTCTAAGACTGTAAATTGCAGGGGATGTGCCGGCTTGTATAGGTAGAGGGAATTTTCTCATCAGGGAGTTCCCTATATCAATGAAATCACAGGCCTGGTATGTTCTGGACCCTCCTCCAGCCTCCCCCTTTCCCTCCACCATTAATATACACATATAGGAACTTGTCCAGCCTGTTTTATGGAGGTTTTCCCAACTCTGGTTATGATGGAATTTATAAAAAAAAAAGGGGGTCCATAAATGTGGCCTATGCAAAAACTCAGAGCCAGCTCAGTCTTGGGACCCAATTATCCAAATTGTAAAGCCGTTCACTCCCTCCCCCACTGCACAGAAATGCTAGCTTTGAATGGAAAGGAAATACTTGTCATAGCTCCATTTCCTCTCTTGGGCATAGCTAACTGCTAAAAAAAGAAGCAAGAAGAACAAAGCATCTTAGAGTTAGAGGTACAGATGTCATTTACAAAAAAAGGTAAAGGAGAAAAACAAGCAAGAGCGCACAGGAAGAGTCTCAGACAAGTGTACTCCAAAGAGACTCATGCACTGGGGTGGAATATGAAACTAAAGGAGGCATCACATCATGTTGCTGGGAGCCTTATTTGTTCCCCAGAGCTAAAGCTGGAAGTGATTTTGGAGCACATCTAGTCCAGTCCCCTCATTTTGTAGGTGAGAAAATTGAGGTCCAGAGAGATTAAATGACTTAGGTAATGTGGCAGAACCATCTGCTTATTGTCTCTTCCCTTCTTATTTCTAGAGTGGGAGGCTCAGAGGAGTGGGGACATGGAAGGAAGTCTCAGCGGGTCATTGGAGTATCTAGCTTCTTTTCAGTGAGAACAAGGTAGCATACAATAAGTGAAACCTGTCTCTGCTTATAACGCACACACACACACACACACACACACACACACACACACACACATTTAATACAGCCATAGTTGTAGTTTTTCAGAGGGGAACTTGGAAGCCAGGGTTCCTGGAAGATTCCACTGGCAAAAATGATACTGATTCACTCTAGAACTGTGGCCAGGTCAGCCTAGCTTTGTGTATTAAAACTAATGATAATAAAACTGGGCAGAATAAGGTTTAACGCTTAAAAGCTACTAGTTGGTGGTATATATATATATGTGTGTATATATACACACTTATATATATATACATATATATATATACACACACACACACACCCTCCACCTCCCCATATGTATATGTGTGTGTGTATATACGTATGCATATATGTATATGTGTGTATATATATATGTATATGTTGTTAAGTTGTTTCAGTTTTGTCTGTCCCTTTTTGACCTCATTTGAGGTTTTCTTGGCAAAGATACTGGAATGGTTTGCCATTTCCTTCTCCAGCTCCTTTTATAGATGAGGAAACTGAGGCAAACAGGGTTAAGTGACCTGCTTAGAGTCACACAGCTAATAAATGTCTAAGGCAGGATTTGAACTCAGGTCTTTCTGATGTCCTGTGTACTTCACCACCAAACTGCCTAATACACAGGGGCCGTCTCTAGTCATCCTGATCTATATCTTGCTGCTGGACCTAGATGGCTCTGGAGGAGAAAGTGAGGCTGATGACATTGTACAGCCCTCCCACACTTAAATCCAATTTACTTGCAAGGCATGGCATCATCTTCTTGATGTCATGGTCCTCTAAGGACAAACAACAATAGCCTAATACACACACACATACATAAACACACATACACACACACATATACACAGAGCATGTGTCTATATGTATATATATATATATATATACATACACATATGTGTATACACATATAAACACATACGTATATACAGATACGTATTTAATGATTAGGCTGGTTATGGTCTACATTTATAAAGTCTAAGCAAATATGTTGCACTCTTTTAAGGTCTTTGGGCAAGATGCTTAGCCTTTATATGCCTGTATCTTTACCTATTTATATTATATATGTCTGGGCATTGTCCAAGATACTCATTGTTCCCCCAGATGAACAAAATTCTCTTCCTTCTTCTCAACAGAAGGGCTAGATGATCAACAGTGGATAAGAGCGCAGCAAAGCATTTTTCAATTAAATTCCAAAGGATTTATTAAATGCTTACCATCAAAGTCCATTGCTGATACTGAGGAGCCTTTGTAGAAGAATTAGATGAGCTAGGCAATGCTGAAAGCAACATGGACTTTTTTTTGACCGTTTCAAGGGAAGTTCTTAAAGGAAAAAAACAACATAGTTTAACTATAGATACTCAAGAAGAGGTAGGCCAGAACTGCAAAGGGAGGGTTTTAGGGCAGTCCTTTAACCTGCCCCCTCCTTTTATGCTTTATAGATAAGATGGATACCACTAAGTCTATACACTCCTCCCCCTACCCCTCCATACTAACCCAAAAGCAAGCATCCAGAGATGTCACCAGGGAGCCTTGCACAATGGTCTTCAGGCCATGGCAAGAAGAGAGAGTCCCTGCTTCAGGGTAATTCAGGCAACTCCATGGTCCATATAGCTCCTGGATCAACCATGGATGTCATGTCCAATTCAAGAGCAGAAACACCCAGGTTTTTTCTTTTTTTTCTTTTTTTTTAATAAGAAGAGTCCCCATTCTTCTAGGAAATTGGAAGTTTCTAACCTGGAATGTTCCAGGGATAGACATTTCCAGATTTGGAGGGATATTAGGTGAGGGGCTGTGTCCAGAGAAGAGATACAGGCAGAAGAGAGTGGTACCAGGCTGGAGGAGGAGAACAATACTTAGGAATAAATAATATGCTGAGGAAAGAAAGACTAGTGTGGAAAAACCAGAGGCTTTTTTAGACTACAATTTCTACTTTGTGCAAAGTGCTGGTGATACAAAGACAAGGAGAGGTAGGAATAGTCCCTTCCCTCAGTGAGCTTACATTCTACTTGGGAGATACAACATTTATAGATATAAGTAAATACAAGGAAATTTTGAGGAGAAAGAGAACACTAATAATTAGAGAAATAAAAATAGTTTCAATTCCACTGAATTGAAACCTGAAAGAAACTAAGGATTTTAAGAAGAGATAAAGAGGGTATGCATTCCCTGACCAAGTCCCTTAACCTCTCAGTGATCTAGGAAACCTTCTAAGACTTTATATTATAGTCAAGTTGTTGATCTGTATTAGTAGAGTTATTCTCACTGATGAAATCACACATCAGACCCCACCCTACCTCCATCCCCCATCCCCAGGGGATGGATTGGGAGATACTGAAAGCAGAGAGACCAGTTATGATGTTATTGCAATGGTCTAGGGGTAGCAAAGAGGGCCTGAATTAGAGGAGTAGCTGTGTGAATAGAGAGGAGGAAGATACGTGTGTGAGACAGTATGAAGGGAGAATTTGGACAGATCTGGCAACTGATTGGCCATAGGGAACAAAGAATATGGAAGAGTGGGATCCCTCTGAGGTTGTAATCCTGAGCCCTGGGGAAGATTGTGGTACCTTCAGCAGAGATAAGTTTGGTGAGGGGAGGATTTTATTCTTCCTTTAGATATATTAACTTCGAAATGCATATAGATCATCTAATTCATAGTCAGTCAATAAACATTTATTCAGCACCTGCTATGTGCCAGGTACCATGCTAAGTGCTGGAGAGATAAAGACAGTCAAAAGACAGCCTCTACCCTTCTAATGGGAGAGACAGCATGAAATTAGCTATGTACAAGCAAGCTCTATACAGAATAATAGGAAATAATTAATAGAGGGAACATACTAGAATTCAGAAGGATTGGGAAAGATAGAGAATTGGAGTGAACCTTATAGGCTATCTAGTTCAACCCCCTTATTTTACAGATGAGGCAACTGATGCCCAGAGAGTTTAAGTGATTTGCCCTAGGTCACACTGTGTTTTGAATAAAACCCTGAGAGACAAAGTTTCCAGGTATTATTCATCAATTTATTAATTAGGCTAGCCATTAATCAATAAATTGGTGGTCAGTGGTTTCTCTCCATAACCAAAGACATCATGGGAGACTCTGAAACACATTAAATCAGCTGTGTTCCTTCTGATGGGGAACTCCCCTGATTGGTGAACACTTAATGAGGAGGTGGGCTAGGAAATCTTTATGAGATTCAGCAGCCTAAACATGTCTGGGCTGGGGAAGCCATTTCTAACCCGACATCTGGCTAGTTTTCTCCTTCATGAGCTCAGGGTCATTCTAAACTCTAATGGAGGGGATCCCCTTCCTCCCAGGAAGGAACTCATCTGGACTAGATTCTGTTTATACTATAAACAAAAATCAGGTTTCCCAGTTCTATGGGGGCCCACCCAATCCAGTGTGTCGGGGCTAGGAGTAATTATATCACTCAGTCATTCCCTTTAGTGAATAGAATGTTGTACCAGGAGTCAGGAAGACCTGAATTCAAATCCAGCTTCACAAACTTACTAGCAGTGTCATCCCGGGCAAGTTGCTTAACCCCATTTGCCCCAGTTTCCTCGTCTGTAAAATGAGTTGGAGAGGGAAATGGCAAATCACTCTAGTATCTTTGCCAAGAAAACCCCAAGTGGGGTCACAAAGAGTCGGACATGACTAAAATGACTGAGGAGCAAAAACAAAACTATTGAAAATGAGAATGGAGCCTTAGCTTTGGCTTATGTCATGATCAAACACAGATGGAGTATAGCGCTTAGTAAATTCTTCAGAATGGGGGGATCCCAGTGAGAGAGGTGCTAATTGTCACAAGCATGTTTTTGCCAGATCCTTCCAACAATGATGTGAAGAGAACAGGCCAGGGATTAAGGTTATTAGCCCCACATGACAAATATGGAAACCGAGGGTCCAAAGAGCTCAGAGAATTCCCTAAGCTCACACAGAAAATTAGCAGCTGAGTCAAGACTGGGATCTAGGACTTTTGACTCCCAGTCTAGTGCTCTTTTATTTACACCAAAAGGGAATTAGGCTTTGATATCATGGGGCAGGAGGTGTTATCAAGAACACAGCTAGGGGGACTAGTCTTTGCTTGCAAAACTGAGATACTTCTTCCACAGAGATTCTAACAAAGGAAGTAAAGGAGCGTGAAGGAATAGAGAGAAATTATGAGATGAAAAATAGTAAAACTCACACTGTGCAGCTCACATTGAATCTTTTAAATAAAGTAGGAGACAAAGTCACCTGTCATTGAGTGGGACAAGGGCAGTGTTGGGGGCGTATGGTTTTTGTCCTTCAATCTTGAAGAGGACCATGATTTCAGGAAGATAATGACATCACTTGCAATTGAATTGGATTTGAGTGAAGGAGAGCTGTGCAAAGTCATCAGCCTCACTTTCTCCTCCAGAGCCATCTGGGTCCAGTGGCCAGATATAGATCAGAATGACAGAAGATGGCCCAACGTCTTTCCGAGTTCTCACTTTGAGTGAGGCACCACCCTCAGTGATTAGGCCTGTTTAAAAAGTGAGTCAAAGGATGGCCCTTTTAATAAAAAAAAAAATCAAACTGGAAGGGGAAGATTGGGAGGATAATGGAAAAGGTTTGTAGCAGATTTTATGGGAGAGAGGGATTTAGCAAGATATAGATAAAAAGAATTTCCAGGCAGTAGGGAGGAACCATCTAAGATTAGATATCATGAATTGGTAGTGGGTCCAAACATAAGGCTTTGTTACTTTCTGGAGGGGACACTTCACATCTTAGGAGTCAGAGCAGACAGAGAGAGGTCACCTAGGGTCTGGGATTGGCAAGAGAGTAACAATGGAAAGAAAGGAAAGTAGGGATTCCAGAATAGGAGTGAATATATCATGGAAATTGCCAAACAGGGAGATAGGTCTAGGCTCGTTAGGAGCCCAGTAAAGGAAAGATTGGGGTGACTATAGCTTTTTTTGTAAATTGATAAAAGGTAAGATTTTAAGATTTAAAAATTTTAAGATTTAAAATTTCATTCAATAACTGTTAGGTTTTCTCAAAAATTTTCCCCCTATTTACATTATAGTTTCTTTGAATTTACAATCAATATATACTTATTTATCATTAATTTTCTGAATCCTGTTTTTCATTTACAACTTTACAAATCCTTGTTATATCCTAAAATAAAAATGGAGCTGTATTAATGGTGTATATTTTTAGTTCAATCTCAAAATATGAACCCATGTATTAAAATAGGATAACCTTGCTTTCCATCTAAATTGTAATACATCTAAAAAAAGTTTTCTGCATGGTACTAGATTTAAAAAAAAACATTGTAAACTATGAGGAAAAACCTCTTGAAATCTTGGAGGAGTTGCTAGAAGCTAAGAGGGCTTTGAGTCTGAGTAAGTGTAATGGGATTGGCTAGGAACACATACCTGGGAGCAAGCATGAAGGTGAAGTGGGTTGAGCTTCCATGGTCACCCCCATGGTTCAACACTGAAGGACTTATACTTTGGCATGGTGAATCAATTCTCATACTGGTCCCCCATCCCATGACCCGTGCTGCCTTAAACAGAATTGGCTGCTGAGCTAAAACGTTCAGTCTACTTAATAAACCTTAGAAGGAATGACTTGGACCTCTGGAACTCTCTTTCTTCTTGGCTGTAGATTTCCTGGAGGAGATGCTCTTTCTGGTTCCATTCCCTCCTTCACCCCTCCCTGCCCCCTAGCTATGGTGGCTGCTTGCATAGGGCAGCAATACATGTGCCAACCTAGATGAGCTTGAGACTGGACCTCAAGTATGTGGCTGGTTCTTCTTTTGATTCTTTGCCAAGCTACAGAACGACAATTATGAAAGATAGTCTTTTCAGGTGTGGCTACCATGGGAGTTTGGGGAGTAGAGTTCCTGGATTCTTCACTCAGAGCTGATTGGCAGCAGGAGGAATTTTCTGCCACTATATCCTTTTAGGAAAAGATGAACATTGCCATGAGGATGAGACCAATACATACACTGGCTTGTTAGGTTTGGACCCTGAGAGAGCTGCTCAGAGATTACAGAGCTGAGGTGTAGGCAAAGTGGCAATTCAGCAGTTTCACAAAGTGTTTTATGTTTTTATGTTTTAAGTATCAATCTCCTGGGAGAATATAATAGATGTTATGGTTACCATTTCCTGTTTTAAGTTTTTCTTCAGCGTGGAAGAAATAAATAGCTGTCCTATATCTAATTTACATTGTGCACTGAGAAACTTTCTGATCTCATTTGGGCATATGAGCCAAATCTAAACTTTATTTAAGAAATTATCTCCAGACACTTACTTTAGGGTGGGAAAGTAAAGAGATGAGTAAAAGTCTGACCTCT